AAATTTATAAATAGAACAAGTAAGATCGTGATATGTGGTGACTTTAATATTAATACGTTGGTAAAAAACAAAGTTACAACAGAATTCGAACAGATGTTATTAAATTATAATCTCAAACTACAAATACAAGGTATAACACGTGCATCCAGTGGGACATGTTTAGACAATATTATACATAATGTCCGCGGATGTAAAAGTGAGATTCTTGAATTTGCTCTATCAGATCACAAAGCTCAGTTATTAAAATGTCCTACAAAACGACTATGTTTATTAAAGTATTGGTATGTAAGTAGAAGAGACTATAATAAGGAAAATTTTAGTAAGTTCAAGGAAGGATTACAACAAATAACCTTCAATAATGTATATGATTCTGACGACCCAAATGAGGCTTTTGACATTTTTCACGATACTTTAATTTTGTTGTATAATCTATGTTTCCCATTAATACAAGTTAAACTTTCTGCCATAAAGAAACCAAAATGGATTAGTAAAGGTATAAAAGTATGCAGCAAGCGAAAACGTAGTTTACTTTGGAAATATAGAAAATGTCCAACGTCGGAAAATAAACTCGAGTTTAAACAGTACTCAAACCGTTTTAAACGTATAATAAACCTAACGCAGAAAGCACAAAACAATTACTACATTAAAAATTCATTAAATAAATCAAAGGCCACTTGGAACGTAATAAATTCCTCTAAAAGTAATTTGCCTAGAGAAAATATATCTCATTTGACCGTGAATAATGAAAAAATTACTGACCCAAAAAAAATTGCTGACATATTTAATGACTTTTTTATAGACGTGGTTAAACCGATTAATGCTGACACTCTACAAAATAATTACAATAATGAGACTTTAAACAATATTCCTAATACAATATATTTAAGACCTTGCATACCTCAAGATATAGATAGAATTATCATGTCACTTAAGAATTGCAATAGTACAGGCTACGACGGCGTACACACAAAAATATTGAAAAACGTAGCAGAGTTAATTTCACCAGTACTTTGTCACATTTTAAACAATTGCATTGAAAATGGTGTGTATCCGGATAAATTAAAAACAACAATAATAAAACCTTTGTTTAAGAAGAAGAATAGGCACGATGTGAATTGCTATAGACCTGTTGCGCTAATTCCAATTATATCGAAAGTTTTTGAAAAGTACATCTACAATAGTTTATATGACTTCTTCGATAATTATAGCATTCTTGTAGACGAACAAAAGGGATTTCGTAGACGAAAAAATATTAATATGGCAATATACGACTTCTTACAAAAGGTAATGATAAGCTTAGACAATAGGCAGCCAGTTGCAGCAATGTACATGGATATGTCTAAAGCTTTTGATTATGTTGATCACGGACTCTTACTACACAAATTAAATTACTACGGAATAAGAGGAAATACTCTTAGTTTAATAGAATCGTATCTTAGTAACCGAACACAAATGACACAAATTAATAAAATATGTACTTTGACAAAAACTGAAAAGATATACCAGTCAAAAACTCGTGTAGTCAAGTATGGTGTTCCCCAGGGCAGTGTTCTTGGTCCGCTGTTATTCTTGGTGTATATCAATGACTTTCCAAAAGCTACCAGTCACCCTATGGTCCTCTTTGCCGATGATTCAAATATTGTTTTTAGTTCAGATAATGTTTCTACTTTAACTTATGAGATTAACAATTCTCTACAGTGTTGTATTAAGTGGCTGCAATCCAATAATTTAATAATTAATTTAGACAAAACTAATGTGATGAATTTTAGAATTAAAGAGAATAACAAACCGAAACTTGACATTAAATTCCTTGACACAAATATTGACGAGACTGAGCAAGTTAAATTTCTTGGGTTGGATTTAGACAATAAATTAAGATGGACTTTTCAAATACAATCTTTATGCAAAAAACTAAGTAAGTTCTCTTATGCCCTATACATGTTGCGGAAGATATCCAATGAATCAACAGTATTAACGGCATATCACGGATACGTCGCGTCAATCTTACGATACGGGATAATCTTTTGGGGTAATGCTACTGACCGAGAGCTAGTGTTCAGAGCACAGAAGAGATGCGTACGTGCAATCTGCCAGCTAAAACCCACAGATACATGTAAACCTCACTTTATACGGTTGAACCTTCTAACTTTGCCATCTATGTATATTTATGAAGTTGCGGTCTTCGTCAGACAAAACCCAACATTATTCAGAAGTCATCACAGATCACGCGACAAGAATTTAATATGTAAGGATCCTTATAAGACAACTTTTTTTGCTAAGAATATTGTAGGCATGGCACCCAAGATTATAAATAAATTACCAAAAGACATTAGATTAATTGAACATCTAAATTCATTTAAAAAAACTTTACTGACTTATTTAATTAATAAATGTTATTATAATATATCTGAATTCTTTGACGATAAATCTAATTAGTTTATGTAACTGCCAAATTTTATTGTTGTCTGACAAATTGTATGCTCTTTGAGCGGAACATAGTGATACTACCTAATGTAACATGTCACCATTTTACCTATGATTCACAATAAATGATTTTGTATTGTATTGTATTTGTATTAGAAACCTTATCTTCGGTTTTTGAGCCATCAGTGTATATTTGTCTATAGCCTTCCCAAGAATTAAGTTCATTATTTACAACATATTTACAAGAAAGTTTTTTATTAATTATTACATTTATATAACAAAACTTACTGTCATATTCACCTCCATAACACGGTAATAAATCGCTAGTATGTACATTATTATCATCTTTTAACCTTCTGATATCCGATAGCACAGTACTCAAATAAGAAGGAAAATTAATTTGTAATAACTTGGTCGTTAATAAACTATTATTTACAGACAACAATCTCATCAAAAACGTTTGCCTAAGATAGTCAAATCTAATGAATAAAGGAGGTAAGTTGCACTCGATTTGCATTGAATTAATTGGTGAGGTGTTCATTGCTCCTAATATAAGTCGCAAATTCTTATTTTGGATTTTTTCAAGTTTCTCTACAAGTTTCTTATCAGAGGCAAAACAAAAGAATGCATATTCAAAATGGCTTCTTACCAAAGATTTATATAATAATAAAAGTATTTTAGGATCTGCACCCCAATTGGTTCCAGTAAGAGATTTAAGAATATTTGTAGCACGTAGAGATCTTTCTATAAGGCAATCAACATAGGGTTTCCAAGAGAAGTTTTGTTGGAAAGTAACACCTAAGAATTTTGCACCTGATTCCAGTGGTAGTTCTTGATGGTTATATTTAATACCCGAACTTAATAAATGTATGCAGCGTTTCTTAAAAACAACAACTTTACTTTTATTTGCATTTACATCTAAAGTATTAACGGCATATCACGGATACGTCGCGTCAATCTTACGATACGGGATAATCTTTTGGGGTAATGCTACTGACCGAGAGCTAGTGTTCAGAGCACAGAAGAGATGCGTACGTGCAATCTGCCAGCTAAAACCCACAGATACATGTAAACCTCACTTTATACGGTTGAACCTTCTAACTTTGCCATCTATGTATATTTATGAAGTTGCGGTCTTCGTCAGACAAAACCCAACATTATTCAGAAGTCATCACAGATCACGCGACAAGAATTTAATATGTAAGGATCCTTATAAGACAACTTTTTTTGCTAAGAATATTGTAGGCATGGCACCCAAGATTATAAATAAATTACCAAAAGACATTAGATTAATTGAACATCTAAATTCATTTAAAAAAACTTTACTGACTTATTTAATTAATAAATGTTATTATAATATATCTGAATTCTTTGACGATAAATCTAATTAGTTTATGTAACTGCCAAATTTTATTGTTGTCTGACAAATTGTATGCTCTTTGAGCGGAACATAGTGATACTACCTAATGTAACATGTCACCACTTTACCTATGATTCACAATAAATGATTTTGTATTTGTATTTTGTATTTGTATTTGCAAAAAATGACCGTTTCAAAATCTTTACATTTCGTATGTTATTTTGCTTTCATAAGCAAACTTTAAATATTTTCTTATTAATCCAACAGATATAAGAATGTGCTAATATGCAATTCTTCGATTACTTATGTCCAACCTAAAAATATTTTTTCTTTGCAATTGATATCGCTTCCTTTGTAATTCTTCTTTCCTACCAATTTTACTAAATTATTTTTAAACATTATAGGTAACATATCAATATTATATTTTTAAAAGCCAATAAATAAATCAATCTAAATATTATTACTTCAACAAAACACCGCTAATTGATGTCAAACACTGACATTACAAGTCACAAGACACTAATCTATTTAAACACGTCACCTCAAAGATCAAAGACTTTATTATCGTACATTATAAAACGTGTAAAATTGCTCGACTTTCACGTGATAACATTATTTATTTGTCTTTTACACGAAATGAGTTCGTTTGTTTAGGTGCTGTTTATTTCTTTAGTGCTCAAAATGTGGTTACACAGATATAAATTGAGATCAGTGGCTTCTTTTATTAATATATGTACAAGTGACACTTCTTATTTACTTTATGAATCAAAAAAGGCCTTTACTCGTAACCAAAAAAAGAATAAATGACACTCATTTATATTTAGAAATTGAGATCAGTGCCCCCATTTGTTGATCAATATTGTCTTCTAATTCTATTTTGATCTTATTTCTTCTAATTCGTAAGTATAAAATGGGTCTTTAGCCATAACAATACTAATAATAGGTTTTACTGACAATTTTGTTAAAATAATATTTTTTTATATTGGTGTATTTCGTGTAGTTAAACTTTTTTGTAAATACCTCATTAAGCGATAAATAAAATGAAATTGACTTAAAAAAAAACAAATGCATATCGTTTTGTTGATTATGACGCGAAACGTCATCAGACAAGAACAACTGACAGTCGATATCGGTCGAATAAAAAGCAAAATTTACTGGCCAGTTTCAGCATAAACTCTTGATAGAGTCTAAAACTTCATAGTGTTTTTTGTTTCAGATGTCACGTGAGCGAGTGTGCCCATTTAGAAAATACTTCATGGGTGACGAACGCCATACCTCTGGTGAAAGAAGAGCTGTCAAAATGCACAAGGTACCAAATGGCGAGAGATGAGTACTCATATACAAATGACACGATGTGTGTCGCTGAAGACTTCAGGAATAAAACAGTGCCATGCAAAAAGTTTGACTATAGTGAAGAGGAATACTCCATAGTTAAGGACGTGAGTATTAAAAAGTACTTAGGTACTAAATACGGCCCGTATTCACAAACATTACTATGAGGTCTCACAGCGCGTGTGGGTCACAGCGCAGGCGTCACAGGGTGACACACGAACCAATGACAAAGCTCTATTCAACGCTGTGCTTTGGATTTGCTGCTTCACTTAAGCAAGCATCGGTCGTGAATACGGGCGTAAATTGTTTTCCGTATTCCTTGCGAGAAGCTGCAGGCAAAAGTCTATAAGATATTAGACACTACATAGTGATGATAGATACTGTAAAGGTCAGACCAGACTGTATACTATGCAATGTATGTTTGTAAAGATAAGACGTCCACGCGCCGCATTCTCCATTCGCGCACGCGACTGACATGCGGTTATCAACACTATGCACAAAATATGTCATGATAACTTGATAGAAGTAGCTGACTTGTTTAACGCAATTATCATTATCCTACTGGGTTAGGATACGCGTAGATAATCTTATCGATGGTTTTTGACGAAAAATGTATGTATGTAACAAATGTATTATCGCCTAGTGACTTGGTAAAAGTATATCGTGGTGCGCATCCTCTTTGCTCTACTGGAATACTGTGTGCTTACCATGAGTTTACGTTAGGTGAGCTCGCTAGCGAATACGTCAAAAAATTCTATGAAGATTTTATTTCTTGAAAGTAGCCGCTAGGGGGCGCTGCATAATATGTCATACATTTAAATGTCATTTTTTTACGCCGTCGCTAGCGAGCACACCTAACGTAAACTCATGGTAAGCACACTGAACATTACTCATACTGGACTTACGCCCGTTTTCACAAACATTACTATGAAGTCTCACAGTGCGTGTGGACGCACAAGGTTACACACGAACCAAACACAGAGCTCTATTCAACGCTGTGCGTTCGATTTGCTGCTTCACTTAAGCAATTCGTTTGTGAATACGGGTGTGTGTCACTCTCTTCACATTAAGTGTGAAAGATTCATAAATATAGACATGTTGGGTTGCTGGTATTAATTTGGGTGGTTTCGTTGTACCTTCCTAAAAAATAGTGTTTTTTTAATATCCGTTGTTTGGTAACCACTGACGTTCAAGCTTTGCTTAGTTTATAAAGAGCGCAGTGTAAAAAAATGCATAAGGGCATTTATTATTGTACAAGGTCTTCTAAATTAAGTCACATAAAATATCTATTTTTATATGTAACCGAAATAACTTTTAATGCTAACAGTGTTACGAAGGATATATTAAGACGTATTTCTCAAGAATTAGAAGTCAAATTCCCTCGATCTCAATACAAGTTATTGACTGATTTCCGCACATTTGTATTCAAATTGTAATAAGCAGCAGACCCAGACACCTTATGATATTAAAAAAAACGTATTTAAATTTTCCGCGACAATACACTTTGCGTGTCAAATTAAAGATTATTTACCAACCCTACCCAACTATGGACCAGTTCTTCTTCTTCTATCGTGAGACTGAGATCTCTGAGACAACTCTACTATCGATTTAATGACCTAATAGGTGTCTGACATGGTCCAACCGACGAAGACATAGCGAAATCTTATTTCTTTTTTGGACAACCAGTAGTTTTAAAGAAACTGGGAAAAATTACTTAAACTGAAAGTGATAAGTAGTCCCCTAGTCATTGGAGTAATCCTATCATTACTTACGCCCGTATTCACAAACATTACTATGAGGTCTCACAGTGCGCGTGGACGCACAGGGTCCCAAAAACCTATTCATAGACAATACTTGAGAGTCGTAATGACACTCACGAACCAATCACAGAGCTGTATTCAAGGCTGTGCGTTCGACTTCGCATAGTTTTGCTGCTTCACTTAAGCAAGCATCGTTTGTGAATAAGGGTGTAAAACTCATAAAACTCATAAAACTCATTTATTTCTGTAAATAGGCTTAAAAAAAGCTCTTTTACACGTCCCAGTATTAACCCTACCACTAATTGTAAGTCTCTAATTGCAGTTGATGTCTCTCTACTCGTATCTAACAGGTGGACAACGGCACATCAATCTTGACACTGCGGTGTTTGCATTTACAATAAAATTGTGTAGTTTAATTTGTCAACTATCAAAATTTTCAAACTCGAATGGTGCCGCCCATATTCATTGGCATCACATTCCTGACCCCCGATAATAGGGGTCAATTGCGCATCACTAATTGTTTGTATGTAGTTAAACTCATTCACTTTAACGTAGCGGTTAGTAACAATATTGTTACTGTCACCACAGAATAAGTAATAGTACTGTCACTGAGAAATGTTTAGAAGACACACATGGGCTGTATATAATTTTGATCTCTTCTTCTGGTATCTACTAAACAAGTCTTAAGTCAGGCTTTAAGGCGATTATCACACTGCACGCGACATAGGTATAACGCAAACGCGTTTTCAGTGTGTTGTGCCGCGCGTGTTTTCTATACAAACTGAGGTACTTGCATATAATGATTAAATCTGTCGTCCCGCGTACTGCGGCGGAGCGCGGGCAGTGCAGTGTAATAATCGCCTAACAGCCGCCATAGCCATTAGACTTGACTCATCATCATCTCAGCCTTAGCTCGTCCACTGCGGAACATACGCCCCGTAACTTGAATTATTCTTTCAACTCATTGAATTGAAGCCTCTCTAGTATCCTAACTTACATAGCATATTATCATCATTAACCAGTTATTTCAAGTCAACTTCTAGAATACTCAAGTCTTTAGCCCAAAATCCATTACATTTTCAATTATTGACTGTAAAGTTCGATTTTAGTTGCTTTCAAAAGTTGGTCAAGAAATGAAATCAATCTATCACGTTTAAAAAAAGAGAAGGATCGTGTTTTGAAACTTCATGAATCTATCCAATCCAAAAAACAATTAAAATGTTTCATATCTGGCAATAAGAAGAGAAGACAATTAAAGTAGTTACAGTCGAATTGTAGGCTGATTTAATAAAATATTTGAATTTGAAATACCTAACTCTCTCTATGATGCTTTATCTATTTAATCATTCCATAACATAAACAGAAGTAGGAAGCCAAATAGTGATAACTCAACAAACTATTAGAAACACACATTAGTTCAATCAAAATCATTCGCAGCTTTAACAGATTTCCCAAGCACAGTTCGCGCGGTGTTTGCTGTCACATCAAATATATTCTTATCTTTATGTTTGCTCCAGTTAAATACACATATACTCCTCTATTAAGCAACCGGATCTAATCTATGGCAAATAACACATATTTGTTTGGAGCAAATATAATCAGAAATCCATCAGAAGATTTTGTAATTGTTGTATGTGACCTAACAGGGCTATGTGTAAAGTCTAGAGTAAATAGTGAATGTAAATGTTTATGTATGAGTTGCATAGTCGGGTGTACCTATTTGGGTATGGATGGGTTATAGACCTTTTAAGTGTTTATTTTAATACGAACACCTATGTTGAAAGTCACTGTTTATTGAAAGGTTTGTCGATAATTTTTCCCAAGATAAATCTTCAGAATGATCTTGATTCTTAACTTGCTTTTACTCGCAGCTTCGCTCGCGTTAAATTTTCTTCGCACAATCTTTGATCCCCAGTTTCATCCCTTTAAAGGGTTAATTTTGGATAATCCTTTTATAGCAGAAGCCAACGTTATAATTAGCAGCGCGATCCGTTCAGTGTTTTGAACTGTGTATTGATAGATTAATAAGTCACTAATGACTATCTTTTATATTACCAGGAACTTGACTCCCATTTTTACATGGCATTTATGTTTCAGTTTGACCTGGGCTGCCAAGACATGAAGAGGACTCTCGTAGGCACCATACACAATGCGGGCCTCTTCGTATCTTTGCCTCTGACGGGCATCATATCCGACAGGTTTGGGAGGAGGACAGCCCTGTCTATAGCCTCTCTGATGAACGGCATATTTGGTATCCTCAGATCTTTCTCAATCAACTACGAGATGTTCATGGCGTTTGAGTTCTTGGAAACGGCTATGGGCGCCGGAGCTTATAGTACTGCGTTCGTTTTAGGTAAGTTTGAAACTATACTAGTACCTATATTTTATTTAGACACACGGCCATTTGTGATGATGGATTTATATGAGTTTTCAGGCAAAAAGTACTAAGTGGATTTTTATTGTATGAAAGCAACCATAAACAAATGAAGAGTAGGTAGGGCTACATTATTTAATCGTAAAGGTTGCGCATTTATCGACGTTTTGTTTTTCTTAACGGCTTTAGAAAGTTAAGAAATGCCCTTATGCGGCTGGAACTGGAAAATAAACTACACGCACTTTCATTTTCCATTTGCGGCGAAAAGCTAATATCGCTAGGTGTCGCCCACTATTTTATTCGATTTCAAAGCAAGCAAAAGAAACTCCCTTTGTTCAAATCAGTTTACAACCACTTTAATCACAACTTTATTTTCAGCTATGGAGCTGGTCGGCCCCAAAGGCCGAGTCTTCGGCAACACCATCATCAATGTTCTCTACGTCTTCGGTGTCATGACCCTCTCAGGCCTGTCCTGGTACCTTCAAGACTGGCGCCAACTCCTGCGCATCGTCTACTCTCCAGCCCTACTAGTCTTCTCATACCTCTGGATCCTCAACGAAAGCGTCAGATGGCTTCTCAGCAAAGGGAGAACAGACGAAGCCGTTGCAATCCTCAACAAAGCCGCCAAAATGAATAACGTGGAGCTCTCCGAGGAACTACTTTCGCCCCTGTATCATAAAGTGCCTTTGGAACAAAAGGAAGAAGTTGTAGCCGATAAGGAATCGTCAACGTTCATCAAAGTTGTGAAATCTAGTATTATAAGACAAAGACTGGTTGTGTGCTCTTTCCTGTGGATTACTTGTACGTTTGTGTACTACGGACTGTCGATAAACTCAGTGTCGCTAGCCGGGAATAAATATCTGAACTTTATGTTGGTGGGATTCGTGGAGATTCCTGCTAATTTCGCGTGCTTCTTAGTCTTGGACAGATTCGGGAGAAAAAGGACGTTGATTACGACATACGTGTTGAGTGCGTGTTTGTGTATAAGCTTATCGTTTCTGCCCAAAGGTAAATAAACACCAGACATTTTATACATTTCGTAGGTACGAGAAAACTTAATTCTAAGAGTAGGCGCACACCGTTGATTTTTCGTCGGCCGATAGTTTAGTCGGGCAGTTGATCAGTATGGGCGTGTATGGGAGTGCGCACACTACGCCGATTCGATTTGGCCGATTCTTCTTCATACAATTTAAAATCGGGCACAACTATCGGCCAACTAAAAATCAACGGTGTGCGCCTACTCTAACAGAGACTTGCCTGCCTCAATATCACATCACTTCGCAATCAAAGAAAGGTTTACTCGAATCATTAGATCCATACCTAGATAGTGTTAATAATTTGAAAAAATTCCAGTTTCTATTACCGTGGACTTAAGTTATTCAGATTTCTAAGTATTTATTTTATTGTCTAATTAAGTATATACCGAGTTATCTTGACTACTTACTTTAATAGCAAGTTTCTCTCGTTTATCGGATTTCTAAGAATAGTAGGTTGACTGGATTAATGATTAGATCCCTATCGTTCTAAATATAGAAGTTAATGAAGCTAAATAAGACACTCCACGTCTTCTTTATAAAACATTTCGTCTAGATCCGATCAATGATAAACAGTTCTCGAAATGGGCCCCAAAGCCGCAGCTTCCACAGGATTAAGTTTGGATGTAATTTGTCGTTGACAAAAGTCAATTTTGATAATCCAAAAACAATTTGCTTGAACAGAATCGCGTTAAAGAACACCCTGTTTACTTGGAAGGCTGTTTGCCCAGTAGCCTGAATTAATGGAATATTTAAGTAAAGCCGATTCCAACTCCTTACAGATCAGAGACTGGGGGAGCAAGATAAGAACAGTAGATTCGTTTGCTTATATGGATGCATGCATAAGTACTCACACTCGTATTATCTAGCTAGATGATTATGTAAGTAATTCAAAATGGAAAAAAACCTGCCTACCAATATTGTAATGCATACGTAGTTAATCATTCTGATAGTTCGAGTTTGACTCTTTTTTTATTTAAGGTGACCCTTTTTTCATCCCCTTACGAGATAAACATAAAAAAGTAATTTGTGTAATTTTTCCCAGTTTGGTTGAGCGGTTTGTTGATCAACTTAACTGTCTGAAATGTGCTTCGAAGGCGTGTCGCATATACTTACTGCACCTCATTATGTTGTGGCTTTAGTTAATGACGATAGAGTACAATTTTTGCGGCTACAAAACGCTTAACGATGTCTCAATGTCTTTGATTGCTGTATAAACATTTTGAGGATTAAATTAAAGGCTCTACAAACACAGACATTAATTTCAGAACAAACAAGCCGAAAGTAATAACGGTTAATGAAAAACGATTTTCTAATAACATTTAGTATAAACCTATGTTTGTAGAAAGTTCTATAGATTTTGCAATTTTAGGAAATTATTCTCGTGTAAGCTAATACGAACCTATTTGCAAACATCATACCGACTGAATCAATTCCTGGAATTTATAAGGCAGACACGAGTTAATTAACTATTGATAGAAATTGGTAACTTTTAGGGTACTATGGATAAACTCGTTTAAGCTAGCCACAAGGATTGAGGTGGCCTGATTTCACAAATTTATCTATTATTTACTAAGACATCCATGGGTACTACTAGTACTACCCATTGGGTAGGTAGGAAGTGTACGGAGTGGTATAGGTAATACATTACTCTAAAATAACTACGCTTCAATCTTCTTGGAATAAGTAAAACTCTTGCCTCATTTGGAAATTGACTCAGAGTAGAGCAGATCAGTCGCCCGGCAAGCGAAAAGTCGTTGGTACAATTTCCCACCTGAGGTTATCGATTTATTTTAATTTGCCATTTCTTTCGCAGGTCAAAAGTGGCTGTCGTTAGTCATCTATCTGAGCGGCAAGTTCAGCATCACAGTGGCGTATAGTTCTGTCTACATTTACGTGTCTGAAGTATTCCCGACCAACGTCAGACAATCCTTGTTGGCGGTCTGCTCGTCCTTGGGCAGGGTTGGGTCGACTTTGGCACCGTTAACACAGTTGCTGGTGAGTAGACAATGTTTTATTAGTTCAGCATCACTGTGGCGTACAGTTCTGTCTACATCTACGTGTCTGAAGTGTTCCCGACCAATGTCCGGCAGTCCTTGTTGGCGGTCTGCTCGTCCTTGGGCAGGGTTGGGTCGACTTTGGCACCGTTAACACAGTTGCTGGTGAGTAGACAATGTTTTATTAGTTCAGCATCACTGTGGCGTACAGTTCTGTCTACATCTACGTGTCTGAAGTGTTCCCGACCAATGTCCGGCAGTCCTTGTTGGCGGTCTGCTCGTCCTTGGGCAGGGTTGGGTCGACTTTGGCACCGTTAACACAATTGCTGGTGAGTGGATCGTGTTTGTACTCGTTCGTATTTGTCATTTTAATCTGATTTCATTGTACTCTTTTTGTCAACTAAAACATTAGAGTTCAAATTAAAAACTTAGAAACACAAAACGGCGACGAGTTTCAATCTCTCACAGGATCAAATAAAATGCCATGTACCTATCTACTCTATAAATAATGTGTGTCAACTTAATTGCCCCTCATTTAGCGGTAATTGTTCACAATCTCCGCATATTTTAGGACTATATGATTAAATTAATAAATTATCTTACGAATTTTCATTCATATTTCCTTCCCCAGGCACAGCCCACCATATTCTTCGGGAGCCTGGCGCTGGCAGCCAGTGTCCTGGTCTTCACGCTTCCAGAGACCATCAACTGTCCTCTACCTGACACCATCGAAGAAGCCGAGCAGTTATCCAAAAGAAAGGTCCAACAAGAAGAACCATAGTTCAAATGGTTTCTCATAAACGCCTTCTCAATTTGACTTAGCTAAATCACAGAGCGGCCAAATGCATATTGATATTTTTGATAACTGCATCGTAACAATATTTCAGATCATCATTTTGATCGACTTTGTATTTTTATCACATGACATCACAATGAAAAGACATTACTTACATTATTTAATATTACTACATAGCATACGTGAACTTTTGTTACCTAGCTCAGCTTCGCAAAAATATTTTTAAAGGATGACAATTTTATAAAATAATCTTTATATTATTTTCAAGCATGCTGTAGGTAACACTCGTATTTAAAAAAAGTTTATTCATAATTACTTATTTATACTTTCTGTATTTTTGCACTGAGTATGTATAAATGAGCACATGTTGAAATAAAATGTATTGTGTATAATGTTACTTAGTTTACTTACTTTACATGTGAGCTACCATTAATTACAATCTCAATGTTAATGTGATTAAAGAGGATGCCATAAAGCACAGCACTTTGCCATAAAATGTTTCTTTAATAATAAAAAGTGTTCAACTACGTACAAACATGAGAGAAAGATATTTGAGAGATGCTTTTACATTTTGAGAATAAATCTTTTTATTCTAAAAAATATTTTCTTTTATTTTTTCATGCAGGTTAGTATAGCTTGAAGACAGAACCTACATTATATTTTTTTAATATCTGTATTTCTTTCCCCTAAAAATAATAAACTCTACCTATTTAGTTTTAGTTTAGGGCAAAGAAATTCATGTAGATACGAACGAACGATCGAACCTAATACCTTTGCAACCAAAATAGTATCCACTGTCCACACATTAAATTTTAAATGTAACAGAAAGATAATGATGTTTGTCGTATGTAAAAATTCCACATTAAAATAACAGTAACATCTATGCTTATTCAATCTTTATACTGAGCAATATCATAATTATTAAACATGTGGCTATAAATCTATTCACAGGCGTTTGCTGATCAACATTGATTTTTGGTAGACCGAATAAAAACACCACAATCCGTTCTATGAACTCTAACTAAGCAATCATGCGAAAAAATCCAAATATGCATACATCGTTTTAATTATCTAGCATTCGGTTCCACTGTAAAATACAGTTGAGGTTGGTTTTATTTGTAAATCGACGAGTTTGTTGATATCGTGATTGAATAGAGTACCAGTGGGCTTTATTTGACTAACATTCGATTCTTGCTACGTGTATTTCTGGTTATTTCAATGATGGGCAATATAGGCATTGCAGAATTATTTACCGGAGGTAATATTTAGAGTTATTAGTTAATTATTTATTACAAACTTAGCGATAAAGTAGTAGTTCCTGGCTACACAAAAGTGGTATCTAGTGGGATCGATATCGGTGGGAATAGCCTTATTTTTTAACAGTAAGTAGTATTCAACGAATAGTAGGTATCTGGTAGGTATCTCAGCAATGACAGCAAATTTCCACAAATTACCTAATAGAAACCACAACACAAGTAAACAAGCACTTAAAGGTAGTCATGCCATAATATTAGTGATATTTCTAATTATGTAGTACCAGCGATAAAACATTTAATTAAGAAAACTAGTCGATTGCTTGTCACTCAACGACGATTCCAGAGTTTAATGCTGAGTTGCACCACCTTAACGGTAACTATAACGATAACCGCTGCTTTTTGTATGGAGTTTGACAAATTTTTGACGTTTATTAAAGGTAAAATAAGATGGTGCAACCCAGCCTAAGTAACTATCCTCAAAAACTCTCACATTTACAATATCAGTGAGACGTTCTGTCGACAGAAACAAATAATGTGACTGTCTGTCTATGAACTTGATATCCAAACTACCCAGTGGCGAACAGACTGGTATTAATGCTAAGATTAATAATTAAGTCACGGAGGACCTAGACTAGACTAACCTAATTCGGAAAATCAAGAACATTCAGCTACAATCACCATAAGTAGAGCTGCTGTTGTAATATTATGTTAATCAAATCTAGAGTCTCATACTTCATAGTCTGCGAGCAAGTTTTGTCCTTAGTAACACTACTAATTGTGGCGTAGGCAAAATAATTGATATACAAGCTACAAGCAACGAATTAAATACAAGGATCATTTTTATTCACACCTACATTTTTATTATCAACTCTTCCTTCTGTAGGTAAGTACAATTAATCTAAATTTAATTAATAATAAATGACAGCTAGTCTCTTCCCTTATAACAGAACGTTGTCTTAATCCCAATTCCATTTAAAATAAATTAACTGTATCAACAGTTCATCATCATTACCAACAGCCCATTACAGTCCACTGTTGCGACTGCGGGCCTCCTCTTCTTTAGTGGAAGGGTTTCAACAGTTAATTATTTATTAAGATGATGATTTTCTGATAATTTTGCTTCATTTGAGTACCGAAGAACTTAGATGTCATAGTTGTTCCATTTCATAACACAAAGGTCAATTTTTTGTAAGATTTTGTTGGAAAATGCGGTCTAAGTACTCCAAAATATTCCGTACCATACCGTTCATTGTGGAAAACCTTGGGGGAGGCCTTTGTCCAGCAGTGAACGTCATTTGGCTGAAACGAACGAACTACAGTATACAGGGTAATGACCTTACCTATACACCCACGAAGTTTGTCTAACCTTGCGCCAAACACCCTGTATAAGTATGTACCTCATTTCAAGTCATAAAATTATCCTCTTCCTCGCGGCCTTTCTTTCCCGAGCCTATCGGGTTTTGGTAACGTTATTGGATGAAATACCGCGGTCAGATACCGTCGCGATACCGCTGTATCGTTATGTTACGGGCATTAAGTTAAATCAGACTTTTAGCAACGTTACTTGAAAACTTGTTAGTATGAAAGTCTTTTTTTATTTTTGGCGGTGTTCATTGCTTGGTCATTTCGTTACTATGAGAATAGACTTTAACAGAAAAATAATGAACAGTGTATAAATATTTCACCTTATGCCCGTGACGACGACTGCGAAACGACCGTGCCACATATTTTCGACCAAGGTGTAGAGATTAGGATAGGGTTTAAGGCGTGTTAGGCGCTTATCACACTGCGCCGCGCTCCGCCGCGCGGGGCGACAGATTTAATCATTGTATGCAAGTACCTCAGTTTGTATAGAAAACACGCGCGGCACTTCACACTGACAACGCGTCCGCGCGCGTGATTTTTTATATGAAAATCACGCGCTCCGCGGCGGAGCGCGGTGCAGTGTGATAACCGCCTTAGATCTCATGTAGAGCCTTGGCTCTACATGAGATCTGATAACTTTTTAACAATGTAAACCATTATGGTCTCGTCTTGGCAACATGTTACATGAAAATGTTTTAGTTGGATTTCGATATTAGAAAAACTACAGTTACTTTGTAGCACCTTACAATGCTTTCATGGGAATGTTCTATTTCAGATCACAACTCTAAAATAACAGAAACAAGCGTCCGAGCTATATCTGACTTCATACTTTGCCTGCAACATAGTGGCTCGGGCGTGGCTCATGATACAGATACGCCCGATAGTGGCCGATACGGTGGCCTATCTGTCTATTTGTCCATTGCCCGGATTTGTTCATGTGTGACTTTGGGGCTGATTCTGAGACGACATTCGCCCGTATTCACAAACATTACTATAAGGCCTTGTCCAGGAGGGCGAATTCGCCACGAAAGTCTTCGCGCGTAGAATCATACGCGCGTTGGCGAGATACTAGCAGCCAATACATTGCGTCCACAAGACACGCGCGAGTTGAAAATTCAAATTCGCCCTCCTGGACAAGACCTAAGGTCTCACAGTGCGCGTGGACGCACAGGGTCACACATAAACCAATCACAGAGCTTTATTCTACGCAGTTAAATCTATTCCTTCTGTGTCATCTTTCTTCTACCATCATCAGATCATTTAGACCCTAAATTTTAAAGTATCTACTACAAGAGCACGGCCACCAGATAACCAGACGCGAATGGAGGATTTGGTCTACAATCTTCACACTGACCATACAGGTTGGGAAAGAAGAAGAAACCAGATAAAAAATTAAGGCTCTTTTCATAAATTTGTATATTGAGATCCTGTCATATTTTAATCCTTTCTCAATTGCATCCATACTTACAAATTATTTGTCTCTATTATTACCAATAGGTGTTTAATAATATCAGTAATTGATTTAATAAGTAGGTACCTAACACGCCTTTAATGGATGAATGGAGAAAGGGTTGAAATAATATATGACAAGCAATTAGTTTGTATTTATTATTTTTACTACATCAATGACGTATTTCGCTTAAAGAAAACGTATATAAACTGTAAAAATGCTCAGAATCAGCCCCGTCGCAATACTTTCAGCTCGATAAGGGCAATAAAATAAAACAAATGACTCAACGACTCAATTATGATTGAGAAAAAATAACTGGCGCTTACTGATAACGACAAAAATACCTTTGTAGACTGACCTGTCACAAATCATTCACCTACGATAAGGATTTCTCGTACTAGTAACTTTTACACAAATAAAATGTTTAAAGAGGAAAGATTTGACTGTTTGTTTGTGTCAAATATTCGGTTCTATTTAACCGATTCGAAAACTCTTGTACCATTAGAAATCTAAATCCGTTGTCTAGTACCCATAGTACAAGCTTTGCATAGTTTGGGACTAGAAGCGTAGTGTAAAATATCCAAGGATATTTGTATATTCATCATAATCATCATCATTTCAGCCGTAGGACGTCCACTGTTGAACATAGGCCTCTCCCAATGATTTCCACATCACACGGTTGGTAGCGGCCTGCATGTAGCGCCTTCCTGCTACCTTTATCAGGTCGTCGTTCCACCTTGTGGGTGGACGTCCCACCTTGTGGGTGGACGTCCCACGCTGCGTTTTCCGGTACGTGGCCTCCACTACAGAACCTTGCAGCCCCATCGGCCGTCAGTTCTGCATACTATGTGCCCTGCCCATTGTCACTTCAGCTTGCTAATCCGTCGGGCTATGTCAGAAACACCGAGCATATAGCCCTTTCTACAGCACGCTGTGCAACTTTGAGCTTCTTTATGAGGCCTATGGTGAGAGGCCACGTTTCGGAGCCGTATGTCATCACTGGTAACACAGACTGATTAAAAACTTTCGTCTTTAAGCATTGAGGTATTTTGGACGAAAAGATTCTATGTAGCTTTATTGATTATTATTATTATTTATAAACCTACATTATTTCTCATGAACCTAGGCGACACGAAGTTTACCGGGGTAGCTAGCGGAAATTATTTAACTTTAAATTATTTTATTCAAATTAAAACTTAAATCAAATCGTAACATTAATGAGTTATCAACAGTTAATTTGAATTAATTGTTTTTTATCAAGGAAGCCAATGAATTGTAAAGAGTTACAGTTAATTATTTGCTCGAACACTGTCACTGCACGAA